CTTCATGAATTATTAATGAGTTTTTTAAATATACTGTACAGTACTAGACCTAGGTGGGTGTAAAGTTTCAACATTTCAGACCAATGTGTCATTCTCATGAGAATAAGATTATTTGTTTGTATTTATCCATATTTATGTGCATGAGTTTAATGAATTGCATGCGTTCAAAAAGCTTTCAAAAATATTTGTAGTAGGCCGTTAGTCCTAAAAAGTTGGGGGCTGAATCCACTGGTGTTTGTATATTATTTGTATATTAGTCTTTATTTGGCAGTAAATTAATTTTTTGTCAAAATAGCCTGCAGTTTAAGGTGAAGTATCCGGCAATAAACTGCCAGTAACCGCCTTTTACAGAAAGTTCTGTGCACATAAATGACACATGGTCTGAAATCGATGGGCATTACATGTATAATATGCCCAAGATAAATATTAATATTAATTGATACTCAGATGCTTTAACGTTGTTTATTGTTTTCATGTTGGAATATTTATTTAATTGTGCAGCCATATCGTGCACCAAGAGCAAGAGCAAGAAGTGCTGCTGATCACACCAAGCAAAGTAGAATCACTGAACAGAAGAAAAAGATATCATATTTGAAAGGAATTGAGTCAAAACTAGCCAACATTATTATGGATGAAATTCTTGAAAGGTACACAGTCATAATAACCATTAATAACATATAATTGATTGATCTTGTTTAGTAGCTGGTGTTAGTAGGGTGTGGTTGGACGTCAAAAAGGTACGTGCCAGTAGGGTGTTGGAGTGTTTTCCTTGGCGAACCCTACTGACTCCACTTTTGAGATCTGCAATTAATTGATCTTTTGTGGTAGACAGTGTTAATAATGGAGAGAATAAGAGAAAAATATCAAACACCCTTGGCTGGAATCGAACCCAAGTCTTCAGTATTCTAGTCCCATGTGTTAACCACTACACCACAAGGACCAACACACTGTGTTGGTTAGCGTTAATAATGGTAGGATGTGGAAACATTACCAGGAAGTTGTCAGTAGGGTGTCTGTTGGTATGCTGTACATGTACTTTTTCGCCGACATCTTACCACCACCATTATTCTTTACTATTAACTATTATCTATTAACTGAAATATTAATGAAGAAAATCTTGTTCATTATGACTATTTTTGATCATTTTTAGTGGTCCTACAGTACGCTTTGATGATATTGGTACGTAGACTTACAGTACATTATCAATTAACACAGCTTGTAAATGAACCTCTTTCATAACTATGACATGTTGGCAGCCTGGCTTAAAATAAGTTTTAGCTCTGTCATACCTGTACCTGTACCTGTACCTTATTTCTGGCTTAACGTCACTGAAAATGACTGACAAGGCAAAACTTTGACCAGACAAGTTCCAATTCTGGCCGGACATTACCCGATGTCCAGCCATTATTTTAATTGAGCCATGGCAAGTTTAATGGACATTTTAGGAAACCATGAGATATGAGGTTGTTACTTTTACTTTCAGCTGGTGTTGATGTTGCTAAGAAAGCTCTAAGAGAAATTGTCATCTTGCCATCTCTCAGACCAGAGGTAAGATACTCCTATCAAATGATTAGTGGTGCAGAATTAAAGATTTTTATGAAACCAATATCAGAACACCTCTAACACAGGTGACAGAGAGCGCTCGCATCTCATCACTGCAACCTGAGTTCGAGTCGCGCCGGATTTGGTGTTGTATATGAGTAGAGTTGTTTGTTGGTTCTCTCCTGTGCTTCGAGGGTTTTCCGGGTTCTCCGGTTTTCCTCCCTCCGCAAAAATCAACTCCTAAATTCCAATTCAATCACGGAATGAGGGCCACAGGTTTGTTAGCCACTGGCTATTAAGTGCTACCCTCATGAAAAAAAGGACAATTTTTTTTTAAACTCACAGATTGATTTGGAGCTTAGAGTGTTGGGTCTTGCAAAGGGACAAAAGAACCCTTGAATCAAGGAATGTTCAATCCTTATAAATTTTGCTTAGATGCAAAGCAATGCAATGCTGTGATTGTAGATTGAATGTATAATGTTTCATATTCATGTTTTACCGAGTGTCAGCTCCTCAATGATGTTTATTAATTAATAAATTATTGTCCATTGTCTATTATTATTATTCTGATTATATTAATTATCTATTCTTCAGCTTTTTACTGGTTTGAGGGCTCCAGCAAGGGGTCTCTTACTTTTTGGTCCCCCAGGAAATGGAAAGACAATGCTGGTAGGTAATCCATGACACAGTCTAGTGAACATTCTGAGAGAGCACTTGAGAAGCTTTGCATCCTGATTTCGTCCACTGTTTTCTCTAGTCAGCATCCTGCATGTTTAGATCAGAGTGTCTGAAGGAGAAAACTGGTTTATATATTTTTTATATTGGGTAACTTTATCCATAGGCAAAAGCTGTTGCAAGTGAAGCACAAGCCACATTTTTTAACATCAGTGCTGCAACTCTTACATCTAAATGGGTATGCTCAATAAATAACATTATTTTTTATCTTATCCTTAAATTAGTAATTTACATAAGAAAACAAATGAATGGTGAAATGACACATTCGTTGTATCGTAGGTTGGTGAAGGAGAGAAACTAGTGCGAGCTTTATTTGCTGTCGCAAGAGAATTACAACCAAGCATTATATTTATTGGTATGAATGATAATTAAACTATAATCAAAGGAATATAAATATTGTAAAGGTTTTCCCATTTTTTGTTCCTGCTTTTATTCTTTTTTAATGTCACAGCATGCGCGCGTACTTTTTCTTAATTCGCATTTTTTAAAAACGGTTATTGTAAGTTGTATATTATTTAACAAATAAAACAGCTTTTTCTGTGCTTAGTGACGTTAGAACAAAAGAAGCACACTTCGTGAGTGCTTTCGGCGCTAATTCCTAAGTGCTTTATTACTGAACCACTACGCGTCGTGCTTCTCCTAACACTTCTCTCGTGTTTTGCCAACCTTGCGTGCTTTGTGACTGCACACAGCACGCGCGCGCGTTTTCTATTTCTTCAATAAAAAAACTTGCTAGCTGTACTGTGTGCAGTTACAAAGCTCTTGGAGATTGGCAGAACACGAGAAAAGTGTTAGTATAAACGCGCTCGCTTTTTCTATTTCTTTCATAGGGTTTTTCTCCAGGTTCTCTGGTTTTCCTCCCTACGCAAAAATCAACTTCTAAATTCCATTCATGGGTTTACCGAAAATATAAAACTTATGGAAATTTAACTTTGATCACCAGATGAAATCGACTCACTTTTGACTGAACGAAGAGAAGGGGAACAAGAACACAGTAGAAGACTTAAAACTGAATTGCTTGTTTCCTTTGATGGGGTGAGTTTTGTACAAGGCCTACGTAGCTTCTATTAGTGTCGTCACGCAACGCTTTCTCCTCTAAGTAATAGGGAAGTTGTGCGTGACGACACTAATAGCGACTGCGTCGAAGACTAAGGCCCCGTCCACACGTATCCGCAAATTTTATTTTRCGGATACGGGTTGCGTCCACACGTGTCCGGAAATTTTTGTATCCGTATCCGGAAATTTTCGAAAACGGTCTCCAGAGTGGAAATTTTCGAATACGCTCCGAATACGGATACGTGTGGACGGTCGTATCCGCAAATTTTCGAATACGATGACGTAAACACGATTTTGCGCATGCTCAATGAGAAAAACTATCCGTCAAAGGGACTAGGAACTAGCGTGCATCAGGGCGGATCAAGAAATTTCCGGATACGTGTGGACGGTGAAAACGATTCGAAAACGATTCAGCAAATAATAATTCTTAAATATTTACATATTCTCAATAATTATTTCTGTCGTCTTGGCTAGGTGATAGGTGATCCAGATGAACGTATTTTAGTCATGGGAGCCACAAATCGTCCTCAAGAACTAGACGACGCAGCTTTAAGGTACATGTACTGAAATAAAGATGAATGAATTAAAAAACTGTAATGTCCCCGGTTTCCATCTGTAAATAAAGTGGATTAGTACTTAATGTATACGTTAAAAAAATCACGGTATCGTGCCGTGCCGTGCCGTGCCGTGCCGTGCCGTGCCGTGCTCCAGCATTTTTGATTGGATGATCAGAGATATTGCGCGTGACCTTGACGTGACCGTGTCCACCCCGTGTTCATGCTGCTCTATTCCATACCGTGCCATGCCGTACAGACGTGCCGTTCTCAAGAATTTGATAGGCTTTGATTGGTTCGCTTGATATCATCAATCCTGTACCGTGACCATGGCGGCGTGTGTCCTACCTCTTCACAAACACGACAAAATCTAGTCTAAGCTACGATTTACCTTCAAGTATCTGGCGAAAAATCTTTTAAATTTGTTTCAAGCACGCATTATTTCTGAAGTAGTTTACATCTGTGTTTGCTTTTATTACAGACGACTTGTCAAGCGAGTGTATGTTCCTCTTCCTGATCGAGAGGTAAATTGACTGATTTTCAAAGTCTTGAACTCGCGCATGCGCAAAAGATACAGCTTCATAGTAGTCTCATCCACAGCCGTCATTAGTTCCGTCCCAGTGGAGAGGGCGCGTGAGGATCTTGGACCGAAGCTAGTGGCTTCTGCGGAAGACTCTAGCTTCTTAGGCCTCGTTCACATTAATACATTTTCAAAACGCTCCGCTTTCGTCTCACCGAAAACGCATCGAAAGCTTCGCGTCCACACTAGCGTTTTCATAGGCGTTTTCAAAAACGCAGATGATACGATCGGGAATAATGCAAACTTATCATGCGCTCATTCAATAAACAAATGTGGCGGTGTGAATGAAGTCAGCTTCAAAAGCCTCCGTTTTAGCCTGTCCACACTATTACGATAAGCCTCCGTTTTCAAATGTCTCGTTTCTGGAGAGCGTTTTTAAATGTCATCAGCGTTTTCAATCGTTTTAAGGTTGCGCAAGACCAAAACGCATCGAAACGAAATTCAAACAGAAAAGCTTTAATGTGGATGCGGTATCAGTTCTGAGCCAAGCCACATCGTCTGGTTGGTATACTTTAACTCTTTTGTGTCCATCTATTTTTCAGACGAGAAAAATTCTGCTGTCAAAACTTCTCGCTAAGCATCAAAACCCACTCAGTTCCTACGAACTGGACAGACTTGCGGCGTAAGTGAGACAAGTACTGAACTTTAAGATACACAAAGAAATGATACTCAAGGGAATGACACGTGGTCTAGAATGCGAAGACATAGGTCTATTCTTGGGGTGTATGTTACGTCATAGCCGCCATGTTGGTTGACGATAACAAAGCATTCCTCATTAGCTTCTCTTGTTAGATTAACCAACATGGCGGCTGTTTCATCGTTATTTATATCTCAAGGGATTTTGAGTCATGTGGTTGCACCCCGAGAATAAGAAAAAAACACGTTAGCGTTAATGTATTTTTCTTTTTCTGATAGAATGACCGAGGGGTATTCTGGGAGTGACTTGACTGCCCTTGCTAAGGAAGCAGCTCTCGAGCCCATTCGAGGTAACATTCGTCGTTCTCCTAATTGCTTTTCCATACTCTAAACAGGGGGGCGGGCGTTGGGGGAGGAAATGAGACAGTAAGACAGAAAGTAAGGTATGTCATCAATGCGAGTGCATGCGTGTCAAGAGGTACTGTACACGCTGTGTCGCGTGAGGTAGGGGGCCAGAAAGCTTTGCATATGGCACGCTTTCGATTGGAACTAACCCTTTCTCTCGAAATCGACTGCTTGCTTATATCCTTGAATATTTGTTATCTAGCTATTTCACTATGTTGCACTACTTTGTCGATATTCCTGATGATATTTGCTTCATAGGTTTAAAGCCAGACGATCTGTCGTCTATGGATGTACGTGAAGTAAGTTACAAAACAACATTATATCCACGTATCCAGTATGATGTCCCTGTATCTTCAATTTATAAATCCTTCAAATTTTATCAACAATTTCCATGCTGATAAAGGCACAGCCAAATCAAAGGCACAGCCAAATCAAAGATCGAATTGCCCTAATTCACTATGACGCCACATCAAAACAATCTTCAACAATCTATTGTTTAAACCCAAAGGATCATGGTCGTCGGACGGGGTCAAATCAACGCAAATGCACCGAAAATTGTTCTAAAACCCGTATGAATCCACGAAGAGAAGTAGAATAGCCAGCAAACGCTCAGAATATTTTTTAGTGCATATTAACACATTATATCTGAAAACCAGACCATTTTAGATTAAACTGTTTCGCTAGGAGCAAATTTTGTCGAATTTTCTATTGGATTTGGCGATTCTATCCCCCACATAAACAAGCAGTGACGTCGTAGTGAAATAGGGCAATTGGAATTTAGCTCGTTAGGTTTTTTGAGGGACAAGGTGAACCAGAAGAAAGAACCCTCAAATTGCGCTATTTCACAATGACGTCACGGTTTGTTTACATCGGCTAAAATGATAGAAATGTAGGTTAAATTTAAGCTTAATTCTCCTCTTTCGAGATATTTAGCGTAATATTTAGTTGTTCTTGCCTTCACTAGCTCATAAACCAAATTTCATTGTGATTTAAGATGTGTTGTTGTCATTCCATCCCCCCTACAGCGACCGTGATCCCTAGCGTTAAAACTATAGTTTGTTTTGATGTGACGTCATTATGAAATAGGACAATTAAGGAAGAGAACTAACAAGCTCTACTCACATGTGATACCAAGTCCAGGAATCAAACCCAAGACCCCAAAGAGGAGAGGCAGATACAGTACACCTGACTCTTATCCAATCCCATTTAACCATTCACTATTCTTTCTACTCAGGTCAGGAACATAACATTCCAAGATTTCCAGCATTCTCTTCGTACTATACGAGTAAGCGTGTCCCCAGAATCTATTAGAAGTTACGAACAATGGAACGCTACCTACGGGTGTAACGCATGATTCTCTACACCAAAAGGTGAACTTTCCCTACCTGCAATATGCTTAGATATTACATATAGCTGGGCGCATTTTTAGTAGAGTGACTATGCTTGTCCCGTGAAACAAATTTAGATAATTAGTATTTTTCCACGAGCCAAGTACAAATCACTCTACTAGAATCTCTGACAGTATGTTACTGATCTAGAATGGTAAGGTGGGCACGACAAACAATACAAAATTTCTAAAAAAAAACAACAAAAATATAAAATACAAAATTCCTTTCGTGTTCCGGGTATTTGATTGGATGGAAAGAAAATTCTCGTGCAGTGTGATTGGTCTGGCGTATCCCTTGCCGTGCCACGACCGTGTTCGTGCCGTGAGCTTTTCACAGTCATAAGAAAACCACTAATGCTAATTGAAGCACAGGGAGCCTGGCTTTGGAATTTGTACATGAATAAATCAATCAATAAAGTGCTTTGGGTTTCCTGTGTTGAGATTTGAAATTAGACGCTGATACGTTGAATTTCTGGTAATCGTATTACCAGTAACTTGATAGCAGATTAGCGTAACGTATCGGTGTAACACACGCCCTCCCATTAATTTACTGGTAGTACGATTACCGGAATTTCAACGTATCAGCGTCTTGTTTCAAATCTCAACACAGGAAACCCAAAGCAGTTATGAATTGTAATTCGTGTAGTCGAAAAAACTCATACAAATATAGTATACAAACCCATCAAATATGATTTTTTATTTATTAGTAATACCAATTCCTTTTTTGATCGTGTGAAAATAAACAAGTACATAAAATAGAATTAGCTAATTCGTAATCAATCATTCTAGTGCGCTGAGCCGGTGCCGAGTGCGCTGAGTCAGTGATATGATAAGTATTTTCGTGCTTGGCACGTTATGTTTTAGTTATATGTTTGTATTTATATGATAGTTCGTACAATCTAAACACTATACTTCTAAAGATTTGAATTATGTTTCTTCAAGCTAATTATTCTCGGGGAAAAACTCCGAGCTCCAGGCGGGAGCTCTTTTAAGTTCTACATCAACGATCATGATAATAATTGTTTGGACTACATGAGTGTATGTGACCTTGAAATGATATAGACTTTTCTAACAGCTTGGGCAATTATTTACGTCTCTACCATTGCAAGGTCACCAACATTCTCGTTTCTATGCACAAGTAAGGTTATTTTTAGAGATTGCGCAAGTACCTGTGAAAGGGACTATTCAGATGGATTGAAAAAAGTATTGCAGTGCTTGGCCACGAGTCCCAACCCCGTTCCCATTTATAAATGTATTTTCTGTACAGATATTCAGTATTTCAGTTTTGTAGAAATCATCATATAAATCGAGTAGACGAAGACCCTATCCGTGATATTTCAAATGATACCTGGAATAGCCCAGGCTGATAAAAAAAGTTAGGAGAAAAGTAGAGTAAAAAATAATTCCCATTTGACGCTGCCATATATATCTCTTTCGTGAATCTTTTCCATGACTTGATGTGGGCTGTTGTTAACAGGGGCAATAAGACATTCTTTAAGGGTTTTTTTTTTCAGTATTATATTCCAGCCTTTAGTTTAGTCGCAACTCCATGCGGTAAGCATAGTCCATTAGCAACACACACTGACACATACACACAGTTTCTATACTAGCCATTTCCAGGTCGAGTTGGCATTAATTGTGGGTTGGACCATCTTGTAAATATGTTCCCTAAACAGACCCCTATTGCACTTCAATGCCAACACGACCCAGTTTTTACCCAAACCTGGGAATAGCTATTAATCAGGCGTTAGACAAAACTACATCAAGGGAGGGGAGGGTAGACTATCTACTTTGGTTGGTTCTTCCTAACCCGTTCCATCACTTCACTATGCTGTCGTACAATAACCTCTACCACAGAGGGATCGGCCAGGGTAGATACGTCTCCCAGTTCGTCGGGCTTGTCCTGAGCCACCTTACGTAGAATACGACGCATGATTTTGCCTGAACGTGTCTTCGGGAGACCTGGAACTACCTATAATATAAACAGTCTTTTATCAGAAGTGAGCGATAAGACGTTTATATGATTGTGCCATTTGACTATCATACTTTAGTATTTTTTCCATATTTATCCCCAACCACGAGTCGTGCGCACTGTTAATGCACTGCTGTGGTCATGTCTTTGATCACTGAACTCACCACGAAAACGTTTTCTCCGATTTTCTTCCCACCACAAAAATCATCTAAATTTTAATTCGAACATTGAATGAGGACCACAGGTTTGTTAGTCACTGGTTAATATTTTCTACCCTCGTAAAAACAAGGATATTTATCAATTTAATTTAATTTATTTGTCTTTTTATTTATTCATTCACTCATTCATTTATTTATTCGTTCATTTATTCAGTTATTTATACGTTTTTGAAGTAGAATCAAATTCTACTTCCTTGTTACAAGTGCGCAACCCTTCCAGAGGTAAAGAGAGGGTATAATATTCCGTGATTGCGCAACGATGCGCGCAATAGTTACACCGTGTATCCTGGCTATTGGACAACTATCTAATTTCACGCAAGTATTTTAAAAAAACTGTTACTGACCTGGATGATTTCAGGAACTGCGAAGGCCCCGATCTTAGCCCTGACCAACGACTTGAGCTCCTTGCGGAATTGTTCGGGTTCGATTTCAGCGTTGTCCTTTAAAGTCGCGTAGGCGTAGATACCTTAGGGGGAAAATTTTTTCATAAATATTTAAAAAAACTGTACTAAAGATTATGGGGGCTTGGTATTAATATATACAACATATCCTTGTTCCAGAGGCTCTTAGTACAACGTAATTTTGAGCGTAGCTGTAACTAGTTGCTGCCTCGCGAGAACCAAAATTACTGACAAGGACTCTGGAACCAGAGTAACAAGTTACCTTCTCCTTTAATGGGGTGTGGGAATCCGACCACGGCTGTCTCGGCAACTGCTTCGTGATTGTCCTAATGAATAGCACAAACCACTAAGATTAATCGAGGGACGCAAAGTTTTTATGGTAAAGTTCTTGTTGGCGCTCGGATATTAGGGGTTCCAAGGGTCAGGGTGAGGGATTGGTAGAGAAATAAGGTGGAAATGTAAAAGAAAATGAGATCTAGAAAGGCTACTTTTCCTTTCCTTTAAACATCAATGTATGGACGGAGAACAAAGTCCTGTCTTACTAACTTTTTTTCAGGGAAAAGCGAACTTGTGCTTTGAAAAGGAAAAACAAACTACCACCAACCAGCAAGAGATTGAAATTCTCAAACATCAAGTCTTACCATCGCGTCCTCGACTTCTGCAGTTCCCAGTCTTTTCCCACTGACATTAATGACGTCATCCATCCTTCCCGTGATCCTATAGTGGCCGTCTTTATCGCGAAGTGCGCCATCTCCAGTGAAGTAGTAACCTTTGGAAAATATAAATACACAGTACATGAGACTTGAACGGTGGGACGGAGTGGGATAGGGGGTGAGAGCTTGCTACTCAACTACAATGGTGCCCCCCCCCCCCCCCGCCCTGCCCTATTACTCCAAACTTCTCCCGTTTCAATGTAACGTTCAATGACCCTATTTTCCGAGAAGGATTTTAAAATTGACTTACCGGGGTAGGGACGGTAGTATGTATCGAGGTATCTGTCATGGTGACCATAGATGTTTCTGCACATGCCAGGAGTGGATGAACGGAAGCACAAGGCACCGCTTACATTATTACCTTTGATTTCCTTTCCCTTGATATAAAAAAAAAAACAAGAATCAAAAGTTATTGGATATAATGTGAAAGAGAAGCCACTTCAATGCCCAGAAAGCCAATTCAGTGCCCAGAAAGCCACTTCAGCGCCCAGAAAGCCACTTCAGTGTCCAGAAAGCCACTTCAATGTAATAAGCCACAATTTTACAGCCTACTATAAGAGATTCCAAGATATAATTGTAATTCCAACACCCACCTTCTCATCTACCAACACTGGGTCAACTCCAAAGAAGGGTCGCATTGGAAACTCAGGTTTTATTGGATGTTCACTGGGAGATGGTCGCGGGGAGATGAGAATTCCTCCAGTTTCTATTAAAAAAAGAAAGTCGATCAAAGACTCAAAAGTGGGAGTTACTGTATTGATAGCAATGGTCGGATCTAAGGTGGACAAAAGTATGCGTGGTCAGGATAATGTGGTGGGTCCCTAAGCCAGTCATGATCAGGGTGATATTCAGCTTACCAGTCTGCCACCATGTGTCCACTATGGTACATCTCTTCTCTCCCACTACGTCATTATACCAGTGCCAAGCCTCGTCATTAATCGGCTCACCAACTGATGGGAAAAAAATTAAAATAGGTCTCGTTTATATTTGATTCTAACGTTTCTGAAGAATTTATTTGAACTTGGCTGTTTTTGGATTGTGGGATAGATCGATGAAATAGTACTAACTAATTAGTACAAAATAGCCCAATGAAACAATCGAAAAACAAAAGAAATAGATGTGTTTAGTGCTATTTAGTTTTGGTGCAATTTCATTATATATGGTTTGCACTCTATTATCTATATCATACCTGTTCCCAGCACTCGTAAAGACGATCTATCATACTTTGTCACATAAGAATCTCCTGATTTCAACAACAGCCTGATAGCTGTTGGTGATCCATAAAACTGGTTAATTTTTAGTCGTTGGACCATGTCCCAATAACGTCCCGGGTCTGGATATGTCGGGGTGCTCTCAAACAGTACAGAAGTAGCCCCATTAGCTAAGGGACCATAGACGACATAGGAGTGGCCAGTGATCCAACCAATGTCTGCTACGCAGCCGAATATGTCCCCGGGTTTGTAATCAAAGCAATGCTACAAAGTAAAAAGAAAATCATAGACAAAATACTACATACTAACGAGTGAGCATGCATTAATAGGTGTCGCATGGACCACACTATTCGGCATCGTTTGCAAACCGCAAAGGCCAGACTTTGACTTGCAACAAAAATACCTTAAAAGAGTTATAATATACCTATTTAGCTTGGGTCTAATGTTTACCCATGTCAGACCATGTGTCATTCCCTAGAGTAACATTTCTTTGTTTAACAATTGCGCATAAGAAGAAACATGAATATGGATACAACTCAAACAAAGAATGTTATAGTTCTCAAGAGAAAGACACATGGTCTGGAATTGTTAAATTATGCCCAAGATAAAGAGGAGTATTACTAACCTTCATGGTCATTTTAGCATATAGTAGATACCCAGCTTGTGTGTGCAGGATTCCCTTGGGTTGTCCTGTACTACCCGACGTGTAGAGAAGAAACAAAGGGTCTTCACTGTCCATAGACTCAGCCTCACACTCAACATCATGTTCAGCCATGGCCTGGAAAACAACCATTACAATACTGAAAACAAGCTGTGGCACTTCACTTATAAAATACCGCTAAATGTGTTATTGCTTTTGTTCGTGTTGTTGTTGTCGCTACTGCAGCTGCTGCTGTTGTTGATGCTGCTGCTGCTGCTGCTATTGCTGCTACAGTAGCTGTTGCTGCTGCTGTTGCTACTGCTAGCTGTTGTTGCTGCTGCTATTAATCATTGTTGCTGTTATTAAGCTGACTTACCTCTTCAAGAGGAATGTCTTTCTTCCCCATCGGTACATCTCCACCTGTGCGTTTCATGACAAACACTCTCTCAACACAAGGACTTTTTGACACAGCATCATCTACGACTCTTTTTAGTTCACTGATTCTTCCTCCACGTACGATCTGGTCAGCTGTTATAACTGTAGAAGCTTGAGCTACATGTGACATAATTAAACAAAATTTCTTAGTATTTAGAAATCCAACTAAGATTGTTATTGATTGAAAGAAAGCCATTGATCCGCATAGATCGGCAAAACCCACCATCATTAATTCTACTTGATAATGCATCTGCGCTGAAGCCTGCAAACACCACACTGAAACAAAGATTTGTATGACAAATCACTTGAAGTTCAGGATACACTTGAATGCATGAATGAGGTTTCATATAATCACTATGAGCTAAATTTTTCAGGTCACATGTTCCTGTGCCCCTTTTGCTGTTCGTTTGCCTCAGTAAACAATTGGGGTCTGGCTATGGCCCTGCAATGTTAAGATGTAACTAAAGCAAAGCTATTGGAAAATTTTGATTGATAGAAGTCAAGAGGCGTAGTTCAGTTGGTTAGTGCACGAACTTTGGAGCTTGAGGTCCATGGTTCGATCCTTAGGATTTCCACGTCTGTTTCGACGATCTCTAATCCATGTAGCTTCAGCTTTAAATACTCTTATAACAGAGCATTGATGGTGAGAGGGGGTATAGTGCGCACCGTTGGCTTCCATTGATAGCAATTGAATTTCAACTGAAGGAACTACCGACGTTAAATATAGGTACTTTACTTTTTTACTTTTTAAACCGCACAAGAGCTTCGTTATTTGGTCTCATTATAAATTATCATAACAAATGCATTGGGTAATATATAAAAGATAGAAACATTATAACAGACAAATATTACAAAATATACCTATGAGGAGCACCAATCCTTGCACAAGCCAGCATTGCGGCAACAGCAAGAGGGGAAACGGGCATATAGATACAAACAATATCTCCCTTCTTGACACCATGACTCTTCAACATGTTGGCCAGGCGATTGACCATCTCATACAGTTGTCTGGAATGGACAAAACACAAGTTAATTTCTTTTTGGTTTAAAAATAGATAAAGTGGCTTTATTTTGAACTAATCATTAGCTAAGAGCGTAGTTTACAGGATTGTGAACTGAAACAACAGACAATTGATACTCAAGTCATCAGGAATTGCCAATATCGATATAGCGCCTTTGAACTAGAGGCATCAAGGGTGTTGTAGTGGTAGTTGACACATGCAAATCATAATATGCTGAATTCAATTTGTGAATTCAGACATTCCTTGAATTTGATCAGCAGCCCAGACATTTTTTAGCATACGCGCATATCGATAAAATTTGAGCTCGGGGGATTTTTATCAAACTCTCAACACAAGTTCATGTCTCAGCAACACAGCATAAAAAGCTAAATTAAGAGACAACATACAAAATATATAAATTTGAATAAAAAAGATTGTTATTGAAAATTAATAAACTCACATATATGAAACATGTTCTACATCACCAGGTTCGTCTTTTTCCCAGATTAAAGCACTTTGGTTTGGAATGGATCTCATGTGTTGGTCAACACAGTTCTCTATAACAATTAAAACATAAATATATAAAGCTGCAGCCCATTACAATATAACAGTTATAAATCTTGCTTTCTGATTGGTTTGGGTCAGAATGCATGCTTGCTTTATGAGATTCATGCATGCTCACAACTGGCATCCCAAAAAACAGTTACTCTGATATCTAATATATAAGAGAAAGAAAATTTGGAAAAGTTCCAGGAAAATCAATTAAATTAAGTTTTCTATTGGTTTTGGTTCTTCCAGTAGACGTGTGTACCATTTGTTGGAAGTCAAAGTTTGCCCCTCTTTTCTTTTCTTGCCATTTGCAAGACTTTCCAGACTGCATGGTTAAATGCTACACTGTCCAGAATCCTTTTCATAATAATCCTTATATTTGCCTAATTATAACTGACACCATTATCTTGCACCTCCCAAAGGAGTTAAAACATTTGAATAACAAAAAGAAATTGAAGAGGATTCTGGTAGTAGAGATATCAAGTTACAATAGATGATTTTTTTAAAATGTCTTTGACTATTTCCAATATGTTAATGAGTGTGATGTCATTATAGGCATGATTAAATGTACAACCATTTTCTGGGGCAGTAAAACGTCCTGTATAAACCATAAATGTCTTACTCATGGTTTAAAGAAAGTTTATTGCAAATTTGTTTTCTCGTAATAATCAGTGTTTCAATTTACAAATGATGACAAATAAACCCAAATTTCTATAATGACATCACATCATTAGCATATTGGATGTATAAACCTTGATATCTTCAAGATGCATCACTCAAATCATATGAAAATTTTACCATTTAACTTTTCACTTCATGCAGATTCAATACTGAAAATATTGAGTTAGGCGTTATAGGCACCTTAACTACCCCTCCCTGATTAATGAAATTTGTACATTCGCCACTCGTTTGTTTACCTTTCGAAATCGACTCGAAATGGAATTCAAAAGGCATCAATTAATAAATATAAACAACAGGGCGTTAATATACAGAGAAAAGACCTTAAATATGTATTAATCGAAGTATATAATACTGTATAGCTTCCCTAAATGACGAAAAAAGCACAGCCACCTTTGCCTTTACACATGTGCGTGACCTGTAATACAATACACCAAGTACGTACACGTTTTTCAAGTGTGAATTCTTAGGAATAACAGACTCAAAATATGTACTAGAAGTCAAAATAACTGCATTTTTTTTACCTGCAACGTTAATTTTCCCTCCCAAAAACCAGCGATGCTGTCCTTCGTACATATTACAGTCGCTGACTGTATCAAATGGCTTCTTCCAATGCAAGTGGGTAGCGCCAAGTTGCCCCCAGAAGGTATCCGGATTCGTAATACTATGATCATACTGAACACTGTTTTCTGGAGATACGAAGCTTAGCTTAGGAGGAGTGTAGTCGTCTTTGAAAAACGAAGAAGCATTCCTGCTTAAAGATGGAATCAAACGACGAGTGATCAAGCTACGGGACAGAATACAACACGCCATGGTGTTACGACCCAGCACATGAGCACGTGACCCTATGTATATGGAACGACAACAGACAAGACGAGACCAAGGGGGGTAGGCTGGRGCAGAAGCCGAATCGATTTGAAAGAAATGTTGGAATAATAATTACTCATTATTATTCTTAACGTGCAGATCATGGGCGAAATGGAGGAGTAAAAAAACTTGAAAAACATATTTAGGATGCTTGAACAAAATTGCGGTCTGGTTGGCGAGTCGCGCAAATATGACAATTTGGATTTGCAAGCTTTTTTTCCAGAAGCTTGCTATGCTTTTCCGCTAAAAAAATATAACATCGATTTTGTTGAAAACTTTTTCATTTTTTTTCCCCGTGGATCTTAAATGGACTAGTCCTTTTAAAATCCATGGCTTCCCTGGATTTTTTTTTTTTTTTTTTTTTTTTTTTTTTTTT